ATCACAAGGCCAGAAAAGCTTAAACTTATATAGAAGCTTCCTTGGGTTGTGTAAATTCTAAATTGTTCAAATCATGACCCCTGGGGGTAGGGTAGGGCCACAATAAGTACTACATGTAAAAGGGGGGATCTGTTGAAGAACAACAGGGCCAAACTTACTAAGGCGAGCTTTGTGGCCCATTGGTCTTTTTTGTGTCTAGCTTTTAACTTAAATACTAAGAAACCTAGAATAATGGAACTTTGTTAGCTGATATAGGCCTATCTTGGGAAGTATTCTCGGTGTTGTCTTTAATTTGTGTTTCTCTCAAAGACCTCTTTAATAGGCTCACATCACAGTAAAAATATTCCAAGGATTATTTCAAATTAAACTAAGAATTCTAGATCTATTTACTAAATGTCTACACTAGCGCAAGCTTTTAACTATAATAAGTTAAAATGAATGCACAGCTTCTAGTGCTTATCAATGCTATATATGAAACGTATTTGTGAAAAAAGTAGGTCACAGTAACATACTTTTTTAAATTTTTGCAAACATTCATTTTCAAATGTTATAGATGTATTTTTGGACACTTTACAAACTAAGATCGTCCAACCTTTTCAACTTGCATCCTAAGGCCTCAGAGCATATCAACGAAATAGGTCACAATGACCTACTTTTGGAATTAATATTTCAGAGAGTAATTGGCTAAGAATCATAAAAGGACGATTCCCTGTAAGGTCATTTTCCGGCCTACGATAAAATCACTTTAAAATGTGATTTTATATAATTTTGATCATTCTTTTTTTATGATTTTAATGTTTGTTTTTCAACATCGATCACCTGAGTCACCTGGTCTATTTACATCAACTTTCTATAGTTGTTTCTACATGTTACTGATCAAAAATGGTTATTTATGTCGGAAACATATCAAACCTGAGTTATAAATACAAAAATTATTTCAGTTAAGGTTTTAGATAATTTTCTATGACCTGACTTTTGATGCATTCATATTTTGAATATTCTGAACGTAAATTTTTACAAAATGCACATTGTGTGATGTTAAAAAATGTTTAATTATAATTTAGTTTAAAGATTTATTTCATATAAGATAATGTAAGATAATATTGTAATTGTGTATTGTTTTTATAGATGTACTACCTATTTTACGAATAAAATGCGCTTATTAGAAATGTAGATTCGAAATATCTATTGAACTATGTTGTGTATCAAATTTTTAAAACATTGAACGGATTTTGTTAGTGATTGTATAAAAATTAAGTTGTTATTAATAAAATAGATTCTAAAGTTACAAAAAGTAAAGAAACCATTAACTTTCATGATAAAAATATTAATGCAACTAAATGTAAACTAAACGTATGAGTAGTCAGCATAAAAAACGGTTGTAAAAATATACTGGTACGTAAAATGAAAGAAAAATTGCTTTGATTTTTTTTTAATTACGCATGTTAAACACTACATGTATATGTAATTAAAAATGCTATCTAATCTATCATACACAAATGTATATATAAAAGTCAAGTCGCTGTCCCCCCCCCCTTTTTTTTCTTTGCCACTCCATAAAAACAGAGAGATTTTCAACAACTCCTTCCACTACGCATATCAAAAGTTTTAGTATATCCACAGACTTACAAAATTCTACAACATCCCAGGTACAAATAGGCCCTAAGAGTTTGAAGCTTGCTCCGAACTCTTGAGACCCAAGGCTTCAATTCTTGGTCCCAGTGCCGCGTCAAAAACTGTTATTTAGCATGGGTAGTGACTGTTTCTTTCTAAATCCTAGGCATTATAAGTAGCAGTCATGGTTCTTTTAGAAAATACCTTTAAAAAAGAAGTCCAGTGACATTGTAGGCATTGATCAGTAATGAAACACCATGCATAAATTAAAATTGTGACACTTTGCCTAGAGTGGATGACATCTTTATCTGGGTGAAAATACTAAAATGGCGTAAAGCAACATTCACTTACCAATCACATGTGACCTTTAGGGACCCCCTCACCCTCCTCCTTAGATTTAATTTTCTAAGACAGAACTGCTGTTCTTGTAGCTATAAAGCTACAAAATATGTGTGTTGCATCCTGAAATCGCAATATACTGAGTCCTCTCAACACCCACGTAACATAAAATACTTGGATCCTATGTCACTCATACGGAGATATATTAGCATCCTTCTGAAAGGTCGAGGGGAGAATTTCCATTATGAAACTTTTATTTTATGTCAGTAAATCCCTACCTATAAATGTTAAGTGTGTACCGTTATAAAAAAATAAGTTAATAACACAAATAGAAATGCATCTTCCTACAACAACATGGATATTTTTTATCACCTCTCCTATTAACAGATGGCAAATACTCCTAAGGAATAAATATAAAGAAATAGCATAGATTAACTGAACTGTAATTATAAATAATAATAATTTTTATAAATAACTTATATTCACACATAATAGTATATAATAAGTTTTATTTTTAGCAGACAGTTCGATGAGGCTTGTTTTCTGTAATTCCATAACATCCAGTCTTTCCAGTCTTTTGATTTTAGAATTGACATTTTTATGAGTAATGGCTTATATTGATTCTTGCTAAATCAAGAGAAACATGTTCTCTAACTGAAAGTTTATAGTATGAAATAATTTACATAAGCTGATAGTCTTCATTGTGAGTAATAAGTTTTTCCTGAAAATATCGTAAAACGAAGCGAAAAGTTTTTTTTTTTTTATTATTTAGATGTCAAAACCACCTTTAATCAAGTTCATAGTCTGGTAGACACTTTTTATGCTTATAAGAAATTTACATGCAAATTTTGGTGTTGGTTAAAGGTGGTTGTGACATATGTAGGATTTGCCTAACACACACCCAGGGTAACAGAAATGGATCGCAATTCTTTTATATGTTAAAGAACACGGCGAAATAAACCCAAGAAAAAAAACCGCATCGAAATCGATGCACGATTAACGGAGTTATCGTCCTTTGAAAGCGTCTATTTTTACCTGTTATGAAAATCCAATCAAGCGAAAATCGAATCGATCGATAACGAGGCTCTATCGCCGTGACGTCACAACATGGACGGATTAGGCGGATTAGTATGGATGATAATGAGATTAACTCCGACAACGACGACGATATTAGCCTTGATATGTCAGATGGGTCTTCAACTTTTGATGAATCAGATGAAATAACTGTCGAGCTTGGTATAAGACCTTACCAGTTTGAACCAGAAGCCGATTCTGACGAGGAATTAGGAGTTCAAAACAACCCACAGCCTAGCCAAGACGAGCGCTTGGGAAATACTGACTGGTTAGAAAATAGCATATTTTTCAATCAAATGGCTTAAATATGACAAGTTTAGGCAAATACAGAGTTACTTAACGTATAAGGCACAAAAATTGTCTAATTTAATTGGTTGAACCATGAACATTATCGCTGAAAAGTGACAGTCTACATACTCTTGGTTGGTAACTAGACCTAGCAAATCTGTTTTCAAAAATCACACACGAAATAAAGCTATGATAAACCCCTTAAAAGTTGTGTTGGCTAAATTTTAGGCAAATATTTTATAGATTTTTTTATGTTGGATCTAAGTATGTAGAATTGTTTGAATGCACATGCGCACACTGATCATTTTCTCATATTTAGAATTATGGAACTACACTGTATATACTGCAGTTTCTATACCACAAATTATAACCATAAATTTTTTAGGCCTATTTGAATATTACATGAAGTAACTAGAAATATTCTGCATTTTAAAATATTGAGTCTAACAATTTATTACAATTTAGATTTATGAGTTGGGAGATTCTGCATTGATGAAGGGGAAAGGGGGTGGCTGCCTGCTCATGAATGAAAATTTCAATACAGAAAACTGCACTTCCACAGGAAATGGGGCTCGGGGAGGGAGATGTGCTTGTATTATGACTTGTTCACCTTCTGTTATATCACAAATTTTTCTCCATTGAACTTTTAATTTTTCAACAATACATTGATTTAAAAAAAGTTTAAATTTGACTTGTTTACAGGTGCACTTGTGGGCACTGCGAGTCAATGCCTAATGCAGAAGAGTGTGTTTGCTGCCAGGAGATACCAACTGTCAGATGTGTGACAGAAGAAGACCATCAAAACTGTATTACACAGCACAATGGTTTTTTTTGCAGTATGTCTTCATCCTTCTGTATTGAGGACTGCATACCATGCATACAGACAACAGTATGCCGAACTTCCAGAAACTAATGGGTAATAATCATGATTTAATGAAATAAATAAATGATAAAATAAAATAAAGAAAATTCAATGGCTATTTATTGACCTTAAATTTCACATTAGAACAAATAGCACATTGCACAGTTCTATTAAAAATTCATTGATAAACAAAAAACAATTGTGGGCATAATGATCAACAACAGTCTTACAAACCAGAGTAAAACAAACAGGGGAAAATGGAACAAAACAAAATACTACAAACTCAACAATATTACAGTCACTAAAATTTGTACAGCCACAACCAAAAAAAAAAAAATAAAGAGGAAAAAACCTGTCAAACTTATTTAAACAATTTTAGTCACCAAAATACTGTGAAAAAAAAAAAGAATGAAAAAACATTTTTAACTTGAACAGTTATATTGTCAACAATGAAAAGGCTAACAAAAAAGACAATAACACAACAAAACGGGACAAAAACCTCAAACTTGAACAATTTTAGTCAACAAAAATACATTGTAAAAAAAAAAAAATCAAACTTAAACAGTTCTATTGAAAACAATAAAAAGGCTAACAAAAAAGAAAATAACAACTCAACAAGTATTCAAGAATACAGTATAACAATGAAAATTTATAATTTAATAAATAAATATATATTTTATACTAAGGAATAACACCCCCCCCCCCCAAACAAACAAAATTCTTCTACAAAAACAGTATTCTTGTAGAAAACAAAGAAAGCTAACGACGAAAAGAAGATAACTTAAAAAAAATATAGCTATATATTTATGAATATATATATATAATAACAAGTATCCATGTTAACAAGTACAAGTTATCTTTATTTTGTAGGCGTATGAGATATATCGGATACAGGCAGCTGGTTAGGTGGTGCTGGGGATGGCTCGGAAAGGAAGTGAGGGTACCTCTCCCAGCATGTGCAGTCCATAAGATCCGCACCACTTATCCAGAGGAAGATGGGCACTATAGAGGTTTTAGTTTCGCCGGAACCGGGTGATGTGATGATTGGTGGCATCGTCTTTCTCTGGATGGACAAAATGAGCACACAAGGGAGGTGGATCATTTGGCATTTCGTCAAGCTCACAACGTGGCATTGGGTTGTTCCTGACTCGGGAGGTAGCCTCAACCATCAGTGATTCAACATATCCTGTTAAAAGAAAATAAAATGAATGATTGAACTATTTCTTTCTAGCCATTATTGAAATGTGCTTAAATGTATTAATTTATAGGTAAACTGATTAAACCTACCATAAGTGTTATTTGTTTTGATTTTCTTCACGGTGAAGTCGCCCTTCTTTTGTTTGGGAAAGGTGATGCTGTACCTAGGTTTACCATCCTTTGTAGCAGCCTGCATATTCTGTCCATTTTCATTAAAATGCATGGCTGCCAGGAGCAATCTACAGGAAACAAGGAAATTCTCAGCAATGCATAATGTTAACAATGTATTCTAAAAACAGTTCTATTAGTTCCTAGGAATTACCTATCTGATTCACACTATACTGCATATCACTATCAAAATATGACACAGACAATAATGAAAATTCAAACTATTATTGAGAAATAAATGAGCTTGTCCTGGACATTAGAAACTGAAACCATGTCCACTAGTTTTATTTGCCCCAAAACAGAAAGGGTTTACTGTTGGGAAAAAAAAATATCATTAAATTTTTTTTCTTTACCGACTCTGCATCCCATGATAGGAAAACTTGTTCATCTTTGGGGCATAATGGTTAATCACCGAATGGTAGGCTTCTAGACTGGATGTCTGAAGATCAGGTGAAAGCATTGGAATATCTTTCTTCATCTGCCTTGAGGTGATGATGGCCTCCAGCTTTTCCACTACCTTTGTACCTATGAAAGGAAAAATATACAATCTTTACAAAATGCAATACTAAATAAGAAATGCTCAAAAGATAAAAGTACAAAATACAATTCTTAAAAAAAATCCATTAATTATACTAATTGATATAATTGGGAAAGCTTTACCAGGTCTCAACCATCTTTTCTGTCGTGCAGCTTCATCTAATTCGTCATGCTCGCATCTCTCAAAGAGATCACCATGTCCCTCGTGGATGTTCTGAATATGGTTGAATACACTGATCCATTTCTCCCACCTCAACTCGTTGCTGCCATCTGGTGTAGAAGTAGGGACCCAGTACAGGTGGTTTACAATGCTTTTTATCCACTCCATCAATCTTTCACAGTCTTTTTCCTTGCTAAGGGCTGTCAGCTTTTTCTTCAGACCTACAATATACACACATTTATATACAATCTGACAGATATCTTTCTTTTTTGAGACAAGAATGATCAAGTTTAATATACATGTACATAGTACAGTTTTATAATAATCGCATCTTCCTGTAGTTGGAAATCTTTAAAATTTTAGGATTATCAACTATAATATTAAAACAATTGTGATATATAAACAAGAAAGCAAAATCACAAACCTTTTGCAACATGCCAAACATCGACGTAGTGTGTAGTGTCTGGCATATTCTCTCGAACCCATTTTGCCACTTGGAGATGTCTGTCTGTGATGAGCTGGCCGACTTCAATATTGTTCTGATGCAGGAATTGGACAGCTCTTATTAGCCCTTCCTTCTCCATATGGCAGCTGCCCCTGACCTCATTGCTCTAACAAGTAAACAAAAGTTGCATCAAGTATACCATAAAAGGGCAAATACTATTGAACACGACTTTTTAATAAATATTTTTTACACTAACCATTTAGATAACAATTATTACATTTGTTACACAGATTTCTTATTAAATTTTCAAAGCTAGATATTTCATGTATCATATGGTAAATACCTGTACAAGTTGGACATCAATAACCATGTTTCTGTCCAAATCCATGGCTGTGTAGCTGCCAAACTTGGCACAGTGACCTGGCGTGTCTGCCCTCCCATCTCCACCCAAACGAACTGGCTGGCCAGAGTCCTGAACTTGGTGTATGTACTCCCTCTGGTAGTTCTTCCAAACACTGAGAACGGTTGGATGAAGGTAATGCTGTTGGTGGTTGTTGAAAGTCCTCACTGAGATGGTAGCCAGATCCATAAATTGCATCATCCGGATGGACTTTGTAGGCAAGGATCCGGAAAACAGGATGGCACAAGACAGTTCGAAATTGCCTGCAGGGATGGAACCAATGAGGGGCTGACTCGACCAAATCCTGCTAAACCTACAGCATCCACACTCTTGTCGAATGGAAATGAAGGTTCCCTTCGAGTGCACAATGTCTGCCAAAGATGGGCTGGCACATTTTGGGCAGGCAGCAAACAGATCCATGAGTTGGGCATGGTACACAATAAACTTCATTCCTCTTCTATCCCTGAAAGTACAGAAAAGCCAAATATTATGCTATCACAAAAACACATTCCTTCAGGAATACTATAGTGCATAAGATTGAATGAAAACAGGACTTTAATTATAACTTGTTGAAAATATAGGTGATTTTGTTCTCATTTCTTTGACTACATAGCAGTGTAAGTACTGAAGATATGGGTTATTTGAAATAATTATATTGATAATATATTTACCCCCTGTCGCCTTCCAGCAAGTCTTCAGAGTCAATACTACTGAATGAGTCATGAACTGATTCATCCTCCTCATCTAGATCATCATTTGTGCCAATAGAAGAAAATGTTATGTCAGCACACTCTTCATGTAGTACAGGTGCCTCTGGTTCTCCTAAGCGTCTAAGGGGAGGAGCTGGCAGAAGTTCACAAGCAATTCCAACATCCCTGGTCTTCACAGGATTACCTGCCTGCACCACTGAAATAATTATTTAAGCTTTTAGTTTTTTAAAAACAAATTAACTTACAATAGGGCCTTAAGAATAAGTTTAGTTCTTGAAACCCTACTAACCCTTTCCAAAATACAGCCAGGTGGAAATTATTTCTGACAAACCATAGTTTTCACAATACTGACATGCATTCAGCTGATACAATTCTTACAATACTTAAATAAGCTTTACTCGACAAATTCATAATCTCAATTAATTCACCATGCAGTCTGCAGTCCCCTTGTATGAAAACTTGTGATCATAAATTTATCATTCAGTTCAGCAGCATAAAGTTAATGATTTCATTCAAAATATCTCATTAAATTTCTATACACTGATTTTAAAAATCGAAATGAATGCTTTCCTATTTAGTTACAAGCAGAGAAGTTGTACTGATATTTTTAAAATTAAATTACCTTTGTCACTGGTTTTCCACTTGGTCTGTGTGTAGTGGGACTTTCTATGAGGCTTGGGCAAAGAGAGTTGGGACCCCACAGTTCTCGTCTCTTTCACAATCATCTCTACGACATTGGTACATCTCTATAAAAATGAAACATAAAATGTTAATAAACATACATACACCAACACAGCATGAAGAATGTGTAGGAAGCCAGGGTTTGACATTAACTTTTATGAGTACTCGACCAGTCGGGCTTCTTCCAATAGTTTTTACTAGCCCTGACCATAAAATCACTAGCCCTGACCAAACTTGCAAATTAACTTCCTATAACCTGCTAATTTTAATATAGTAAGTTTTGAAACCACACTTAATCTGTTAATGAAGACATTATCTCTTGCTCGTATCAAGATATATTTTGCAGACTATTCAATGGGTAGCAGCCAATTGAGTCTTTATCAGTGGGACATGTGAACATTAAAAACCTTAAAGAACATTCAACAAAACTAAATAAAATAAATACCCAAAATATAAATAAATTAATTAAAGAATACATTATTTGGTAAAGTTTTGACATGGACTATTACAACCGAGAATAAAAATAGCGATTGTGTACGCGGGGAAATTTTTCTTAACAGAACGATGTTTTAATTTACAATCGGACAAATAAGGAAATTTCTTTTAAAAGTTTTAGAATAATTATTTGAAAGAAACTTTAGATATGGGACCTTGGACCAATGATTTTTAACCGTTTGATTTTTTAAAGCTTCCTCAAATGAAGATTGACCTCAGTTTCCTAACAATGATAATAATTCAAGCAAATAATGATGTGTATAAATTTTACCTCCTCGTCCACTTCAACGGCTGGTGTGTCATCAGACCCCTGCTGCGTAGTGCAATCATCCCCTTGGAGATTATGACAGTCAACTTCAGTTTGGGTATCGGACTCTCTCTTAGCATGCTCAAACTCCAATAATATCTACAATTCAATTTGAAACTGATATACACAAAACCTATGAAATGGTTTGGTCAGTATAAATTAAATAAATCCAGTTTAGCACATAAAAATAGAAAATAATTATGATCGAGTGACCAACTGCTACAAAATGTAAGATATTGCTCATGACTGATCTCAATTTAGCAAGCAAGTGCTTACTTAGTTAAAAATAATAACAGCTGCATAGGTTTTATCAGATAAACATTTTAGCACTAATATTTATACAACAGTAAAAAATAAAATAAAGGAATTTACTTACTCTTTCTGATTCTCTTTTGAGATAAGCCCTCCTAGGCTTCTTCGGGGTGCTAGTTAGAGGGGTCGTGGGAGGGGCCTGCCGTTTCCCCAATGCCAATGCCGGTGTTGTAGATGGGTCTACCTTTGTCTGAAGTGTAGGAATAGCATCCTTGTTGAGGTCTCTTCTGTTCACCTTCACCCCCATGGATTCCAAAATCCTGTACTTTGCAGGGTAGGCATCCTCAGCGAAGTGAACAGAGCACAACGTGGACGTCTTCGAGGGGCCCTTCCAATTCTTCCGGTACTGTTGCACAAACTGCGTCCATCTACGCAAAATGGCAGGTCTGTCAAAGGGAAAATAATGCAGGCTGATTCCCTCCATCTTTGTGTTGCTGCAGCCTCCAGCCACACATCGTCTTCCTCTGGAATCTACTCTGGGGACAGGGGTCTCCGTCATCCTCAGTTTATACGGAAATATCACAATAATCCAACTGAATATACACTAAAAACTAATTCTACATAAAACTACACACTAATACTACAGTCACTATACAACAAAAATTCACAAAAGTCACTAAAAATTTAAATAAAGCTCTTAAAACGTCCTCGTAAATGCAACACTTTCCTTTGTTTTCAAAATGGCGGTCCACACAGTGACGTCACACTGAAACAAGGGCCAAAACCGCGCGATTCAGAAAATCGCTCAGGTGTGAATTTGGGTTTTCCCCAAATATCTCCGTTAATCGTACATCGATTTCGATGCGGGTTTTTTGTTGGGTTTATTTCGCCGTGTTCTTTAACATATAAAAGAATTGCGATCCATTTCTGTTACCCTTTAAATTGGAACATAAGCCTACCGTTTCATGCAGTTTTTAAAGAAAAAAAAACTTTGGAATATTCTGTGATGATAAGACATTATGAATCATCAAACTTTTTCAGCTGATGCATCATGAGTCGGATGAGTATTTTATCCAAAAAGTAGGTCACTATGATTTACTTATGGAATTTCATGCTTTTATCTTAAAATTTAGGATAATAAGACGCTTAAAATCATCAAAGTTTGTCAGTTGATGCATCTTAGGTCAACAGATTGAGTCAACTTAAAAATAAAACACAGTGACCTACTTTTGGAATTTCATAGTTATATTTCAATATTTAGGATGTTTAGAGGCTTAGAATTATTAAACTTTCCCTAACAAAAATGTACTTTGGTTAATTTTAGTTAATTATAGCATACTATAGGATCAAATTTTTCACTATTGTAAATCAAAGTTTTAATTATAGTTAATCATAGTAATTCAACTATGATCTTCAGATCTTTATATTTTATTTTTTTTTAATTTTCTACACAATTTTCTTTAAAGGAAATTTTACATGTATATTCACAAATTATTTTAAAAAATTACATCATTGGTATGTATGTTAGGAAATAGTAAAGGTCTGAATCTTCAACAAAGTTTGAAAGTAAAGTTTCAGAGTAAAAGTTTCAAAGTATGAACTATAATTAATTATACAATAGTTAACTAAAGTTATCTATAGTAATTTTTTGTTTAGGTTGTTACATGTATTTGACTCACTTGAGTCCCTGTATTGTATCAATCAAAAGTAAGACACGGTGACTTACTTTTCGATTTCAAGGCTATATCTGAATATTTCAATAAAAAGAGGCTTAGAATCATCAAACTTTGACAGTTGATGCACACACAGTTACCTATTTTTGGAATTTTAGATTTTATCTCAGCATTCTGATGATAAGACGTTAAGAATTATCTAATTCTCAAGAACTATTTAATTCTGTCAGTTGATGCAGTTAAGGTCATTAAACTATGTTAGCTTAAAGAGTAGTTCACATTGACGTACTTTTCGAATTTCTTAGTCGTATCTTTATATTTTGAGTACAAGAGCCTTGGAATCATCAAACTTTGTAAACTGACTCTTTTGGGTCCTTGTATTGTGTCAACCAAAAAATAGGTCACCATGACCTACTTTAGGAATTTCATTGCTGTGTTTGAATATTTCTGATAATAAAAAGCTTAGAATAAGCAGAATTTGTCGGTTGAGGCATCCTGCGATATCAGAGTAATGTTATCAAAAATATATTAAAAAAAAAAAAGTAGGTCATGGAGACCTACTTTTGGAACTTTGAGGTGTTTGTTTAAGTATTTAAGATACTGAGTGGCTTAGAATAGAAAGGATAGGGCCGTACAGTTTATAATAAAAATGATTCTTGGCATTTGGGCCTCTTGTTTTAAAATTAATTTGGTATAAAGGGGAGAAATATTGTTTTGTCGATTTTCTTATTAAGGTCTTCTGTTTCAGTCGGAAGAACTAATAGTGACTGTACTGTTTTTCAAGGTCTTCCGTCTTCACGGAAGACCTTATAAGTGATTCTACTGTTTCTTATGATTATTACTATTAAGGTCTTTCGTCTTTACGCGACGAGTTTCTAGTATTTTTAAGGTCAAGGTCATTAACATGAGAAATTCCTTATATGTGTGTAAAATATAGCAATTCACCAAATGACCTTGACCTTTGACCTTGACCTTGGGTCAAATATAAAAGTAAGGACATGCATCCAGCTCCGGTATCAAGTTAAAATATATAAAAATAAAGATGGGGGGGGGGGTTATTTAAATGACCTTGACCTAAGATCACAATCACAATTAAGGATGTGGAGGTAGTTACGATTCTTAGTTTCAAGGAGGCATAAAATAAAAAAAATCATCTTACCGCCCCCCAACCTTTAAAAAAAAATTAAATCAACAAAAACGTGGAATATTTCTCTAAAATTCAAACCAGACCTTGGATCGACACCAAATTTGGTACAAATGTAGCATAGCCCACAGAGAAACTTTCTTGAGAGTTTTACGGTGAGTCTTATACAGTACCGACCAGGCACAACCTAACAGAAAGCGAACCAAAAGCGCACCCCGGGTTCGCTTTCTGGGTTCGATTGGGGTTCGCTATAGCTGACCCCGAGCGGACCCAGAGGGAACGCCGAAAGCGAACCCCAAATTCAGTAGCGAAACCAGAAAGCGAACGCGCGTTCGCTGTTGCGTAACAGAGCTGTCAATCAGGATTAGCGATAAGACGTGATAACCAATCAGCGCTTCGACCGATAAGCAAATATGTAAATAAAACACTGTACAAGCAAAGCGTGTTAATGTACAGTGTGAAATTATCATTAACATGATTAGAAAAATTATATTTATATTCTAATTATCCAGGTAGTATGTTATATTTACACATTTATTTTTCTTTATTTTTTTATATATACATTTGTGGTATCTCTCTATTATATAAACATGCAGAGAGCAAATATCTTCATACCTGTATGAAGTTTTTCGAAGGTCATAGGTCATTACGTGACCTAATCACACAGCGCAGTAATATCTACTGTAACATAAAAAGACTTACTCCACTAAGCAATATAGCATGTTTTTCATGCATAAAAATGTACAAAATACGCAAGTAAAATAATAATCATTTTATTTACAATGTAAACGAGTATTTAATACAGTTCTTGATCGATTTTACATAGAGAATAGAAAACTACGTGTTATAAGTTTCATGTCTGAGCTGCATAGTCTCAACGTTATCCTTATTTTTCTCGCAGACCTCTGAATGCTATAATTTTTTTTCCATTATACTTTACTCACAATATATTTGAAAATCTGTTGGAAAATATCAATGTAATGCAATCACGCCACAAACAGCTGACAAACACTGCACTTTGGAAGTTCGGTAGGCACACCTCCATCATCGAGATCGTTGTGACGTTGTCTTAACATGTAAGCTGTCGCCAGTGTCTCCATGTCAACATCATAAATTAATAAATATGCCTTACTGAAATCGTAGATTTTATGTTTTTGATCAAATTTTGTACTTGATTTCAAGTTATCTGGTCCGGACAAGTGTCTCCATCCATCCCTTTCCGACCGAAATTCCTCCAACTTTTTAGTATCAAACATCGGACGTGTTTCTTGTGTTTTTTAACATCGAATATGGGTTCTCATGAATACAAAAATTCCAAAAAGACACCAATATGCTCACTATAATAATTGATCACAAGAAGCCTTTCACAGAATATTTCCTTCAAAGCAATCCTTTGCCAGATGAATTTGAAGCGTAACCGCTTTTCAAGCCGATTTACACCTAGCGTAATTTGTCAAAATCTACGACGTACAGTTAGTGCAATATTTATATTCGATTACATTCGATCGTCCGTCTCAAATGTATATATAAGTAATAAATAACAAGTTTAAAAACTTCAATGGGAATTGAAGTGGGTCGGTACGTAATCAAATCTTCTGAGAAGGCCTTCGGCCTTCACAGGATTTGATCACGTGACCGACCCACTTCAATTCCCATTGAAGTTTTTAAACTTGTAATTTATTTCTTAATTAAATCCATTAATTTGAATTGCATAAATTTATCAGACAAAACGTTCTTTAATGTATACATGTAAAAAAAAAAGAAGAAAATAATGGTTATCACAATTGTTACTAAAAAAAGGGGAGGGGATGGTTTTTGACAAATCATAGCAAGATACTGTACAAGATTATGTATATGTACGTGCTATCATTCAATTATTTTATTTTTATAATTCTAATTTACATTTTTATTTAAATCCAGATCAACATCAAAATTATTGATCTTCTTAATTGAAAAAAAAAAAATGAATAACAGGATAAATGTACATGTACAGTATGTCCAATCGTAAACTACTAAGGTATTATTTTGATTTATCTTTTACAAAAAAAATAATGTAAAGCTTGATTTACCTTGTTTGTTTTTTTTAACTGAAATAAAAAGAAAAAAACAAAGCGCGATTTACATGTACATTACTGAACGAACTAATTATCGGTAGTAAATAAGCAATAAAATAAGTCCTACAATATTGTATTCTTTTAAAATAGCGTAACTTTTAATGATAAAGCGTATTTATGATGTTTAACGATTTTTTTTCTCTGATGATAGGCCCCGTTAACTGCTTATTGTGGTCATGATATTTTTATATCAATACATCAAAATGTATATTTTTACAAAAAAAAAAAAAAAAAAAAAAAAAAAAAAAAAAAAAAAAAAAAAAATAATAATAATAATAATAATAATAATTCCCAATACTTACATAAATATTTAGTCGGCAAATGTACACGACATGATTGTCGGGGTTACTTTTTTTCCCTGATACTTGTTATTACATTAATTTCTGCAGATGGATGAATTTCAAAAAATGCTGATTCTTGAAATTCATAAATGGAAAGATGGATATAAGTTTTCATTCATTATTTAGGCCACTTTTAAAAATCTGTTATCCCCATACTGCAAATCATAAAATCCAATTGAATCAAAACTCACAGCCAACCTGTATCATGTGATAGAACATACCGCATTCGATCATAAATTACATCTTTACGTATCAAAAATATAAAAAAAAATTCTAAGTCGAAGATTTACATTAATAATTATTTGTAATCTAAAATACCTATAAAATCTTATTTACATATGTACGTAGTTTCAAAAATATTTATTTCTA